GCCAGGAACTTTATAGTTAAACCACTTGAAACTGTGTAGACATGACTTACAGTGTATTGCAAAGGTGGCTAACAGTGAAGGGAGAATGAAGTAATTTGGGCAATATGGTGAGCATACAAGGTTCATTAAACCAGATTAGAGAATAAAATATGTGAGTTGAACAGTACTGTCTTGTAGAACGTCAAACACTTAGGGGAGAATTATTTCACAGACATGAACATTAACCAAAAGATGAAGAATCGAAGTGGTGGAGATTACAGGATTGGCAGTCAGGCCACCTGGCTTCAAACCATGTTAGCCACTAGTGACTTGTATGATTACATGGGACCAGTTACTCAATTTTTCTAATGCTCACTTTCCTCACTTTGGAAACTGAGAAAATCACAATAATACGCACTCCACAGAGGATTTCTGTGAAGATCAACTGAGAAATATGTGAAAAACATTTAACCCAATTCTGACTAAACAGTAAGCCCACAATAAATGGTAACTATTATTACCTCTTCACCGCCCTCAGCAATGAAATATCCAGTTTTTTTTTTTTTTTGGTCTCAGTCTAAGTATCCAGCACAGCAAGTAGTGCAAGTATTAAATTGTGAAAAATGAGATCTGTGACTCAAAAAAAAAAAAAAAACCCCAAAACAAAAACAAAACAAAAACTAGCAAAAGCTTCTAGAATTTCCAGTTGGGGATGATTGCTCTATTATAGAAAGTATTAAGAATCACTTATATACCAGATCCTGTGCCAAGTCTTTATATGCACTCTTTCATGAAGTAACTAGTTTTGTAAACTCAATGAAGTAACCTGAATGAAGTAAGTGAATGATTAATCATGTTTTACAGAGGGAAATTCGGTGGCTTAGAGAACTTTAATCCCTGGATCAGGGTCACCAAATAAGAGGTGAGAAAATGAAGCCTAAAGCCCAGGTTGGTTTGTGACAGAATTTCTGAACAATTCAAATGATATTTATGAATTCATAAAAGACAGGCAATAATGTCCCACAGTATTACAATTTTAACATGTATTTGTAATAAGAGTAATATATATATGTGTGTGTGTGTGTGTGTGTATATGCATATATATATACGAATGAAATAGTGACAATCTCCAGAACTGGAAATTTTTAGAAACTCATGTAATAAAGATAATGACTTTAAGCAGCTAATGTTGTTAATGACCCAAAATGAATGTCAAAAATTGAGGACTACTGAAAAATTCTACAGGTTAGGTGCCACCTTGAAAGAAGAATAAAATGAGATATTTAAAATTTGTAATTTTGATAGATTGTCTTAAGTCTTCTCTGGAACAAGAAAAGTCATAAATTAAATGATAAATAAAATGGCTCTGCCGTTTGTATTTACTCTAAGGGATTAAGTAGCCATTGAATTAGAAAGCCAAAACAGGAGCCACTTTATAACTGGACTTGAAAAATTTATGATCATTTGCAATATAACATCAACAAAATAAAATAATGGCAGATAAACTGTTTTAATATCTTATTGTATCAAAACCTCACATTTATTAAATTTCTGCTTCGAGCTTGTACTTTTAACACCCCCCATGTATAAGTTCAGGTTCCAGTGGAACATCTGACAATTATTACATATTAATATACTCAGGAAAATTTTAGATGTTTAACTCCTTAGTGTTTTTCTATAATCAGTACTAGGTGTGCATTTACTGCGTTAAAATTGAAAGTTACATTAAAAAACAAATTAATCCTAAAGAGTTTTACATAAAGTAGGATCACTAAATATAAAGACAGTGTAATTTTTGCTTTTTTGGTGTTCCTATTAAACTCTTAAAAGAAATATACGGCCGGGCGCGGTGGCTCAAGCCTGTAATCCCAGCACTTTGGGAGGCCTAGACGGGTGGATCACGAGGTCAGGAGATCGAGACCATCCTGGCTAACCCGGTGAAACCCCGTCTCTACTAAAAAATACAAAAAACTAGCCCGGCGCTGTGACGGGCGCCTGTAGTCCCAGCTACTCGGGAGGCTGAGGCAGGAGAATGGCGTGAACCCGGGAGGCGGAGCTTGCAGTGAGCTGAGATCCGGCCACTGCACTCCAGCCTGGGCGACAGAGTGAGACTCCGTCTCAAAAAAAAAAAAAAGGAAAAGAAATATACATCTTTAAAAATGTATAGTTACATTTTTCCTAATAATTACATAACTTTAATTAGAAAAAGTATAAAGAAGACTTTTTTAAATCACCTATAATCTCACAATTTATTAATAAGTATGAGCAGATGCATTTGTTTAATTTCATGAAGGAAACGAAAGTCCCAAATTACACCAGACTGTGAAATTTGAATCCTTATACAATGTTGCCCCTTAGTGGTTTAAATCAAGAATAGCAAGCTAAAATCAGTGCATACTTGATTGACTTCAATTTATTGAAACTAAATTGGAAAACAAAAACTTAGGTTCTTGAAATAAAAAGTTTAAAATTTGATTTCCCTATTCTTTTTTATTATTAGTCAGAACATCCTGTATTAATTTTTAGCAATGAAAATTGTTAAAACATGTTAATTACATCGGTTTTGTTAACTGTAATAGCTACCAAATAAACATTTACATCTGAATCTTAAACTCTCAGGGTATCATTGGTTTATTTTGGGCTGGTGTCTGTGTCTATTTCAGTGTTTTATTTACCCTAGTGCCTACAAATGTGTCTGCTTATAGCATGTGCTTAGTACGTATTCTTAATGAACAAATGCTATTCAATTGTTGAAATATTGGGAGAACTACCTAAAACACCAAATCATTATTTAAGAAACATATATATATATATACACACTAAGTTTTTGATAGGAGGAGCCACTTATTTTGAGAATGATCTATTAACAGTCCTAGAAGCAATTACTAGCTTCCAGGACTCTCTTCTAAAAGGAGGATCACATATTTATAGTGTTTTTACTTAAATTTTGCATGGCATATTGAGCAGTGAAGTTTAACTTTCTAGTTTGCCTTAAACGAGAAGGAAGGTGCCAGGGAAAGCTTCATTAGTCTTGTGTTGGTTTGAAAGACAGAATTCAGTTGAACTATTTATTTTAAAATGATTCTTATCCGGGCTTTTAAAAAATCGAGATAATTGAATGCTTCTGTCCATCTACAAAGTGCTAAACATGTGCATTTGATATTCTGATTCAATTAAGATGCATATCTAGCCAGCTGAGTAGGTTTGCTCCCACTGTCAGATCATGATTTGATGGAATGAACTGAAACCTGAACGGGTGAGTCCTGAGATTGGGCCTGCGGTCAGGACTCTACTCTGGTTTAGCTGAGGGGGCAACTATGTGAATCTCTGCAGCTATCATCTGAAAAGGGAGAACGTGCAGTAAGTGGCCATAAGGTCATTTACATTTTTATGGTCTAATTTATTATTTATTTCCTAATTAGTATTCCAGTTATTTCTTTGTTTTACTGTTTTTTGTTTTTTGTTTTTTTAAGTGACTGGGCTCCATTTTTCTTTCTCTTTAAATTCCTTTTTATCGTGTTCTTTTTGCAGTCGTTATTCACATCTAACAGCACAATGTAACTAGTATGTTAAAGAATATAAATTAGCTCTAAATACGAAATTTCAGTTTAATGAGGGCAATTTTTGTCTGCAAATTTATTTACATAGACTTCATTGCAGCTATTAGTTACTACTTTATAAACTATGGTTGTGGAACTTCTAGACTTTACTTTTGAAATTATTCAATTTATAACACCAAAGATAATTCTTTCAAATTCAGAAGGCTACTTTTTGTGAAAGTAAGATCCCTGTTTAGCTCACTTTTTTCCCTTAAAATGAATAAAACCCGAGTTGTATTTACTTTTCTTGCAAAATAAAATACAATTTAAATAAAGTATTGGAGATTTTGGTGCCAATTTGACTAATTTTGGGCATATGCAAAATAGTTTCAGATCTATAAGGAAAATATATTACCTGGTATAATGTCAAAATACAAAATTTACAGTTCCCTGCCAATTCACAACTGTTATTCTTTAAAATATAATTTTGGTTCAGAAACTGAAAGAGGATTGGTAGGTGTACACTAGAGGTGTACAGTTGTAGCTAGATCAGTTAAATTAAAACTCCTCTAAAGCTAAAAGCATAGCTGGACAATATGAACGCATAATACGATAATGTGTACATATCAATCTTCAGATTTTATGGGACTTAAACAATCTTAAATGTCCTACTAAGTTCATTTGTGCTTCTTTTTTATATTAGTAACTGACTTCTAAAATAAAAGTTTTCTTAATTATGCCTATGTTCTAAATATGTCCTTAGTCTTCCAAATGTTTGCTTTTCTAAAGAGGCTGGTTAGGGCCAGTGATTGATTTACTTTTTAAATACATTGTAACCTAGACAGCCTACCAAGACACCAACGATGTTCCTATACAAGTTGTTTTGCATGCCTTACTTCCCAATCTTTTTCCTCTATTTTATTTCTTTCTACACCTTGACTCTCTATATCACTATGTTTAGTTACAGGGCTTGTAGAATGTAACACTTTTTAATTCTTAAAATATAGCCATTTAACCCTTTTCAAATCACATAAACGAATTCTCTAAATTCTCCAACATATGTAATTGTGTCTTTCTTACTCTTAAATCATAACTTAAATGCCTTAAGGTCATCATTATAACAAAGATTAAGTTCTATGCTCTTCATTTAAAGTAAAAACGAAGGCACTAGAACCAAGGGCACATATATACTGACATAATACATATCAATGTAAAATTGTATTAAAATTAAGGGGGAATCATACCTAAAGCCCAATTAATATTAATTGATTGATACTTCTACCAAAATCCTCAAGGCTAGCCATTTTAGAAAGATTTAGCAGTACAACAGTTAATATAAGGAGAACCACAAAAAGCTTTCTTGCCTGCTTTTTGGTCTCATGAAAAACGAAGATCATATAAAATATGATTATAGTAATAGAACTTTCAATGCAGACATAGGAATCACTGGGGTGTTAATAAGATGAAACTTAAAACACATACCATAAAATTCCTCTGGTAATGAATATTCTCTTTGTTAAAATCGATCACATAGCCATTGAAGGACCAAACAAATGTGAGATCCAAGGCAGGATCAGAGGACGCAGCACACTGCATGGTGGCATTTTCTCCAACTGTGATATCGGCATTAATCGGGGCCAATATAATTCGCGTGGGATCTATATATTTTTAAATAGATAAGTAAAGCACAACTCAAGAAGATATAAGACACCATATTATCTGGTATATTAAATAATAAAAACCAATATATATTTATTTGTGCAAAATAATAAGATGTTTTCATACCCAAATTCCAAGAACAATATCATCAAGCAAGAAACTTGCCTGAAATTCTTTTGAAGAAGAAATTTATAAATACATTGACTGTTTAGATGCTTAGTGCTGAATCACATGTTTTTTAATACATTAGAAATTAAGCACCCTCAAACATTAACTTACCTGTGATAACAAGGGTTCCAGTGCTATTAGCTTTCCCTCTGTTATTTTCTGCAAAGCATGTATAGATACCTCCATCATTCCTTGTAATATTGTTGATTTCTAAGCTACCATCTTCCCAAATGAGTATTCTAGTGAAATAAAAATACATATAATTCACAAACCTGATTTAGTAAAATACATTATGTCTTAGATTGCAAACACTAATATTTTTCAATTATTATATTCCATATAAATCATGCGACCACAGACATTTTTGTAAGTTGAAAAATTCTAGCCTTTAGTTATAATATTTTTTCTCATCATTGACAATTTGTTTTGGAAATCCACTTTCATCTTTTTCTTGAACTATTGCCATAGTCTTCTAACTGACCTTCCACTACAGGACAGGCTGAAATCAGTCATAGGCCTGAAAGAAATGAGCCCAGGTCTCCCAGAAATGTAACCTCAGGACTTCAATTCAGACTAGGAGGTGAGGACAGATTGCCATTTCCATGGCTACAGAGAAATATAAACATATTTTATTTTTAGAAACTTTAAAAAATATTTTACAACCTCCCTTAGTAACAACTTCTGGAACAAATTAATATTTAGGAAATTCTTCTTTGAACAGAAACTAAGTCTTTCATACTACACATATTTCCCTGCATGTCAGCCTCTTCCCCAGGGGATGGAGATGAAAAATTCACCAAGTTTTATTGTATAGAAACTCACACTTAGATTAAATACTGAATTGCCTGTCATTGGATTTTTTTACTTTCTTCAAATGGATCATTTTCAAACCTAAATTATCTTTTAAAGTTTGCACAAAACATGCAAACATATATCCATTTTAGGGGCAAAATCTGATAAAAGAAAAAAACCCTATTTTTGTCTACCTTATTGATAAAAATCTTCATACAAGAAAATATCAAAATTTCCACTAATATTATAGTCCAGGATTTCCTTTCCTTTCTTGAACAATCCAGTCCTGACTTGAAGCTCATTTCAGAATACTTTTAGTTGTTGAAGGAGAAATGAAGTATCAAAATAATATAACGATAAAATTAATTATTTAAGATCATGGAAGCTCTGAGAGTATTCCTCTTTCTCCAACTCTGAGGAGTGTAATTTATTCTCTGTCCCAGACGCTTACTCAGAAATCCATCACTGTGTTTATTCAAAGTCACACATTCCACAGACTGTTCTCAGCCAATGACTGATCACAGGAGAAATTTTAAACCGGGCCTGCTCCTGGAAGACAGCAAACTCCTCTGATACACATTTTTGACTGGAAGCCTCTCCAGTGGCATGACCGTACTCTCTTAGAAGTACAGTTCAGTCCAAGTCATTTCAGCACAATATTTTTTCCTTCCTTCCCTCTGTCCTTCATCTGGGATCAGACCTGTACCTCAGTAAAATACTTTTCCAAGCCTCCACCAGCTTCCTCTCTATTTTCCCTCCCATGCATTGCCATTAATTAATTTCTTACATAGCTAATCTTCCTGGCGTCAGCCTCTTGGAGGACACACATTCACACAATATCAATACTAATGGGTCACGCTTTTTCTCACTAAGCTCTAGTGTAAGTCCTCAGCCAAGTTCCCACATTCCTCTCATTTAATTATTTTTCAAGAAACACAACAAAAATTATAATCAAGTAGCAGTGGAAAAAACAATGATGTTTCTTTCTTAAATCACGCTAATATTTTTAGCTTACTTAGTTTTCGACTGATCTTTACCATCTTTAAAGGGTATACAAAATTCCATGTGTCATTCATCTCATTTATACTTTCAGGTACATTTCCCTTGAGATTAAAATTATTTTTTAATAAAAATATTTAGAAAACCTGATTTTTTGTAATAATTATCCTTATTCTTAAAGTAATATAGATTAAACTCTCAAGATCGTATCCTTATTTCCAGATACTATGATATATAGATCAGGTGTTAAACAAACTAGGAACAATCTGGTCTTTAACCAATTGGTCACTTATTATTGCCAAAATTGCTCCAGAATAACCTCTGGAGTAGAAAAGACTAACGGAGATCCCTTCCTATAAGTGGTTTAAATAAAAGTGACTTTAGAGCTAATAGCAATCCATTGAATTTAAATTAGCAACTAACTTAATTCTGTTAATTACAAAGAAATTCTGCTGCGGAAAGTATATCATTTGAGCCGAAAATAAAATCATAAAATGATAACCTAATTACCATTTATCAAGATACATAGCTTCTCCCAAGTATCACAGAAACCACTCTTTAGGCCACTAACCAGATACAGAAAGAACTTAGTTATGTGGAAATGGTTTTTATAATTACATTCAGAAGAATAAGATTATATTTATACTTAAAGACCAGTATTTAGTTAGTCCTTGGGTATTCTTTTTCAAAATAAACACCAAAATTTTTATGTTTAGCTTTTTATATGTATCATTTTACAATTCAAATATATTTGCATATGAATACTATATCTACTATAAAATGGTATTTACACTGAGATATTAATGGGTTAAAGTACTAAGTAAAAATTAGATTTATAGACTCTTTCATCAAGGAAATAATGCAATTTGATTTCAAAGGCTTTAAAAATATAACACAATCAAACTAAAATTTCAGGAGCTAGATCTTTCTCTTCTTTTTTTGAACACATATTGATATTTAGGAAAAACAAGTCCATGAAACATAGTTCTGTGAAATCCTTAGTTGAAGAGGTCCATGACATGGGTCGTCATCAGAATCAGAAAAAGATTTTATTACCAAGGAGGAGAACTAATGGTTTGTCCAATGCAGAATGCCCTGCCCTAGGTTGTGGAAGGAGTACGCACCTACACGTGCAGCTGCCCTTTGATCATGGTCTCCGCATTGCTCATTGTCTGAACATTAATGTCAGCAAATTGAACAAATGGACTTTTCCTTTAACAGTTCTTGTTAAAATCTTAACAATTCTTAGGTCAAACATATTAACTTTAAAAGTTAATGTGTTCAGGGAAGCCCCTGATGTCCCTGCCCTCTTCCCCCATTCCATAAACAGCTGTGCCTGTGCTCATCCTAATAAGAGGGCTGTATTGGCATATTCTCAATTCATATCAGTGTCTTACAACTTCAAGTTCTAGTTTGGATAACATCAATATATTTTTTCAGAAGGTCACTTTAACTTTACCAAGCTTTAGACACATCAAAATATGGATGATAATTCCCATGTTACTTTATTGGGTTACTGTGAAGAAAATAATGTATTTTCTACACTTGATTAATAATTGTCTTTCAAATGACAAAAGTCATCCTAGTCCTCCCCTGTTTAAGACTTTAAACAGATTTCCATTACTCTTAGATGAAGCCCAAGACCCTTAGCATAGAAAATTTTGTCATTGATGATCTGGTTTATTATGTCTCATCTCTTAAAAGTCTCCTCCATTTTCCTCTAAAGACAAATCACACTGATTTCAGTTTCTGCAATTTCTTACACATTCTAAACTTCTCACCACAGGGTCTTTGTGCATGCTGCCCTCATGTTCTGGAATACACCCCAAAGCCAACGCCCATGTCCCATCCCTCCCATTTCCCATTCTGGCTTTCTCCTCCTCCTAATTTTTGCACTCAATATTACTTCTTCTAGGAAACATAAAAACTGTTCAGTGTAGCTTTTACACAAATAATCTATATAAGTTGTACACTGCTTTTTCATCTTGTCCCCAAACCACCGAAACATTGGTAGATTGTTCACTTATAAGGAAGATGATGATAACATCTTGTTCATTTCAAGATGGGAAGAGATTATTTGCACTTTGAAATCACTTTTTTATTTTTCTACAAAAATAATAGACTAATTGCATAAAATTCAGTTGAATATAAATGGATATAGACGCCTATATTGGGGGAAAACATGTTAGAGAGATCCTATTTTATTTCCCATTGTTTATTAACTGTATGACATTGGGCAATTTATAACAACAAGACAACAAAAAACACCTCTGAGCTTCAATTTTCTAAACTCCTTATACATTACAGAGTCCTGTTAATTGAACCTTCATTATAATAGATACTGACAGGGATAGGTATTTCTATTCCATCTTAGAACTACAGGATCTTCTGTGAAAAAAAATAATTTAGAGCAAACAACATTTTCATTATTCACATATAAATAAGTCTTCTATAAAACAAACTTTTTCAAACAGTTTATTGCAATTGGATTTCTAGTTTCAGCACTGACCTGCTACTATTGACAAGCCACTCTGTCCCTTTACTCCATGAAAACTTTGGTTTCGGTGCAGCTTTAGGTTTGCATTCAATTATCACCCTTCCACCTTTAGCAGCCAGGATCTTCTTCTTCATAGGATTCATTTCAAAAGTTGGAGCCAACGCTAAAAAGAAAACAAATTGTTATTTTTCTCTTTCCGTTTGTAAAGCCTAAACATTGCTTCTGTGTTGTAGAATCTTTTATTCTCCTTTAATAGTTAATGGAAAGGATTAATCTCAGTAAATATGACCAGCTATTACCAATAGGCATTCTATACCTAATGCTTTGTAACTTTTATTTAATAACTTTGATTTATAAAATTCACCCAATTCCAATGTACAGTTCTTGATGATCACTGAATTGATTATTAGAAACTTTAATTAGAGTCCAGGCATGGTGGCTCACACCTATAATCCCAGCACTTTTGGAGGCTGAGGTGGGCAGATGGCTTAGCCCAGGAGTTTGAGAGTGCACTGGATAACACGGTGAAACTCCATCTCTACCTAAAATACACAAAATTAGCTGGAAATGTTGATGCATGCCTGCAGTCCCAGTTATCAAGGAGGCTGAGGTGGAGGATCACCTGAACCTAGAAGATCAAAGCTCCCGTGAGCCGTGATCGCACCACTGCACTCCAGCCTGGGAAACACAGTGAGACCCTGTCTCAATAACTAAATAACTTTAATTTCAATGAAATGTTTTATACACACTTACCTTAAAATTAACACTGAATTCCGTTGCTTTGACTCAATTCCACAAGGAAAGTAAAGTGAAAGGCTGAAGAAAATTGACCAGCATTATACACACTGACATATGGTCCTAATCAATCCTCTAAACCACATGTTGACTGAACTATACCCAGTTTATAAATGAGAAAATTGATTAGGATTATCTAATTCAGCAAAGGTGCCACAGGTAGTAACAAGTGGGAGTCACATTTGAATCTAGGTCCTTCTGTTTCCAAAGCATGTGCTTCTGATTAAACAATGCAGTCTCTCCTTCTTTATACAATTACTGAGCATCACCTGTATGCAAATACTCTGCAAAATGCCAAAATAACTGGAGCCCTACTTTCAGGATCTATCTATAAACAGCTATGGGAATAATGGTTCTAATAAACTAATTAAGGAGTATATGATCATTTGTAGTTCATCCTTACCTCCAAGTACAGAACAATAATTATCAGAACAGAATATAGAGGTTTTTAAGTTACTCCCTTGATGGTATGCTCTAACTTTCCTCAAGGTCCCCACATTTAATCCACTGCTCACTCTCCTCTTCCCTGGGCAGACTCCAAAGAGATTTCATCCATGTATTTCAACACATTACAATTATCTGTAACTGTGTACTTTCTGGAGGCTTTTCTAGGCCTAAGCATATCTTCATCTGGATTTTGACTCTTCATCCTCTGGTCTGGTCATTCTCAAATTTATCTTTGTATTAAAATCACCTGGGGATCTTTCTAAAGTGTCCATTCAGCAGGTCTGGGGTGAGCCTGGGATTCCGCACTTCTAATGTGCTCCTAGGTACGGCCACTGCTGCTGATGAAGAAGACTTTTTTTTGTGGCAAAGATTCATTCTATTCCATTGTTTCGCTAGTCTGGATTATGATAATTGGCAATAAATAAATTAGTAAGCAACCAACCTATGTTGCACACCGAACACAGTACTGAGTATTTTGTGTAGGCTCAATAAACATTTTGTGTGACATGACATATTGCTTCTAAAACATGAAAGAAAACTTAATAGGATTATATTTTAAAAACCAAAATTCATCTAAAAATAAGGATTTTCCTTGAATCAGTTTAGATTTCAGTGAAATAGTTGATTTGGTGTGGTCCTTTAAATGACTTCAGATTTATCTAATATTTGAATTTCTAACAACAGGATCTAGACTGTATTACTATGTATGTTTTGGAAGTGGCAAAAATAAGGGGATATTCTTCCTCTCAACTAAGAAGATGGCACGATGCATTTCTTATCTCTTTGGTTCTTTATTGCAGTATATGAGCCTATTAAAGGAAGAGCATCTGGTGTAGAGTAAGTGCTCAATAAATATTTGCTGGATGAACACATGAATTAACTAAATAACCCAAGAAAAGAGAGGAAGGGAGAAGCACTGTTCATAAGAGTATAAAAAACAAAAATAGAATAGATTGAGACAAATTTAAACATGTCCAGAGCTATTGATCTGGGGAGGATCAAATTGCTCAGTTTGCTAATTATATTAATAGCCATTAAATGATTTGGCAATTCTAGGCTAAATATATAGACATCTTTCAGTCTGAGCTGAGCTGTTTTTATACTTCTCTTTTGAAACAAATGAAGATATGAATTTTAACAGAAAATAAAATTTACATTTGGGACAGAATTCAAACTGACTTCCTCTCTAAGAGTCACAATGATTTTCTATTCCCTTGTACCAAAGATATCTGAGCTTGTGCTTGCTTGATACCCAAGTAACTACAGTAAATATATTATCAGAACATTTAGGCCATAGGGAGGAAGAAATAGAGTATGATCCTCAGCATTAATAAGTGGCTGGGAATGTTAAAATTAAGATGGCCTTAACTTATTGAGAATAGTTTTCTTTAATTCTTTATTATAACTCTCTCATTTTCTATCATTTTCTTTTAGTGTCAATCAATTTGTAGTGATACCAATGTTTTGAAGAGTTTTCTTTAGGTGCAGTAAGAATAGAAGTGGCCGCATTGAGTCATTGCTTTATCTTTTCAGTAACTAATGCTAGAAGAAAAAGCCTGACTTCCTGAATTCACTACTTACAATATGACTTGACTTCGTGACAACTCTTTCAAATAACATGAAAAGGACGTAATACAGTAAGACTTTAGGGCCAGGCACAGTGGCTCATGCCTGTAAATTCCAACACTTTTTGGGAGGCCAAAGTGGGCAGACCGCTTGAACTCAGGAGTTCTGGACCAGCCTGAACAACATGGTGAAACTCCATCTCTATAAAAAAATACAAAACTTAGCTGGGTGTGGTGGACTGTGCCTGTTGTCTCAGCTACTTGGGAGGCTGCAGTGGGAGGATGGCTTGAGCACAGGAGGCAGAAAATGCAGTAAACTGAGATCACACCACTGCACTTTAGCTTGGGTAATAGGCGAAACTCTGTCTCAATAAAATAGACTTTTGTAAAGTAGTTGTAATGAATATAAATAAAGTAGTCATAATGGGAGATATTTCTGGTGTAAATTGGAGATTAGTGGATGTACTGGATGGGGAAGGGATGTGGTAGACTCTGCCATTCTTTAGAACAAAGAATCTTTCAGGAAGAGAAGATGTGAGTGTGGGTGGGAGACATTAATAATGAATTCAGCTGCAGACATGCTAAGCTTGGATTATCTGTGGGGTTATCCAAATGAACGTTGCTACTAGGAATTATTTATATTTAGATTGAAGCTGAGGATAATTATCTGGGCCAGAGATAAAAGTAAAGGGATCGCTGGTAGGTAATAGGAAATGAATAGAAAATTAACTAGATATTTTTAAAATAAAAATAAAAATCCAGGAATAATAATGTAGAATACAGAAAAGGAAATGAAATGGATCAGAGGGATGGAATGCTGGGATAGAACAAGATTTCTAGCCAGGCAGAGGAGAGGGTGAAAAAGGTGACAATGAAGGAGATAGAGAAGAAATGGTCTGTGAGGTTTGACAGCTCAGAATCACCAAAGACAAGAGATAAGAAAGCTTAAGCATCATATAGGACTAGAAATCCTGTATGACTAAGAGAGGCAGTTGGTGGATATATGTTCACACACACACACACACAAGAATGAATAGTTGCTGATATCAAGTATCAGGGAAAGTGAAAAGGAATGAATATAGAGCAAAGAGGTAAAATAATTGTTTCATGTTTGCTTAGGAGAGACGCTTTCTTCTCTAGATAAAAAGTATTGAAAAGACAATGTAGTAAAGAGATAGCTTTGAGTGATGGATGGGAAGTTGAAATACTTTATGCCAAAAGATTTCAATTTTCATGGAGCACAAGAATACAATATAAAAGCGAGAGTCAGGGTGCAGTAAGGGACCAGCAGAATGTCCTAAAGGTTTTGAATAGCAACTGTAGTGTATGAGACCCGGGGACTGAGAATGCCCCCGAAGTGCCAGACACCCATCTGACGCTGATCACATGCAGTGTTTTAACATCAGTCTTCAATGTTATGTGATTCTTCAGGCAGTGTTCAGTCTCCAGGCATATGAGAGGATAAGACTTGTCAAAATTGGCATGTGTAAATTGTGCTTTATCATTAAAAAATGCTAAAAACAATTATATTCCATGTTCCTTCAAATTTATTATAGAATTCAGCTTCTTAGCTAAAAATAAAATGATGCAATTTCATGAAATAGGAATTTGTATGTAGTTGGAAATTCAACCAGCATAAGAAAAGTTTAAAGCGTTACTTTCTCCCTACTTACATGTTCTTCAATGAAAGGAAAAACCGTATCATTTCGTTCCCAAACGCATGTTAAAAGTCTTTAACATTGTAAATAAAAGAATGTAATGTGGGCCGGGCGCGGTGGCTCAAGCCTGTAATCCCAGCACTTTGGGAGGCCGAGACGGGCGGATCACGAGGTCAGGAGATCGAGACCATCCTGGCTGACACGGTGAAACCCCGTCTCTACTAAAAAATACAAAAAACTAGCCGGGCGAGGTGGCGGGCGCCTGTAGTCCCAGCTACTCGGGAGGCTGAGGCAGGAGAATGACTTAAACCCGGGAGGCGGAGCTTGCAGTGAGCTGAGATCCGGCCACTGCACTCCAGCCTGGGCGGCAGAGCGAGACTCCGTCTCAAAACAAACAAACAAAAAATTCCTGTCTTTAGTGAACAACAGATACGTGGCAAACATTGTGATCACTGCTGCATGGAACTCAGGAAGATAGAGAAAGAAAATTAAGGAGAAGGAAAGAGAAGAAGGAGAAGAGAGTAGAAAAGAAAGATGCAAGGCAAGAAACTAAGGAGAAAAGAAATGCCCAGAGATAAAGGCAAAGGGAAACAAATTGAAAAGAGAGAAGGAGAGAGGGAAAGAAGGAAAACATTTACTCAGACAACACAGCACTCTTCAAAATAAACACTTATTTAGCATATCAGTCCTGAAAGATGTGTTAATCCTTCAGGCTTACAGAGAAAATCAGGTTCAGAAAGGTGAAAGGCATTATTTAGGATCACAAATTGAGTGTGTACCTCACACTGTAAAATACTAAAGAGACAAATAAATAAATAATGATATATAACCCAAACCAAAATGGGTACTCTGAAAGAGTGACTGATGAGGAGGGTAGTTAGAAGTAAGTAAGGGCTATAGGACTCTGAGGCAAATATGACATTTAAATTCGACCAGTTCAGGTTGAGCAAACAGCATATTATGACAAAGCTCCAGGAGTGTGCAAGGAATTTTAAAAGGTCTAGGAACTCAAATGATGCTGAAGTATATGAGCTGGAACCCACAATCTAGAAGGACTGAAAAAATGATAGAAAGATTTTGAGACGAATTTTCTCAATAAGTAATGTATTAGTCTGTTGTCACTCTGCTAATAAAGACATATCTGAGACTAGGTAATATATAAAGGAAACAGGTTTAATTGACTCACAGTTCCGCATAACGGGAGGTCTCACAATCGTGGTGGAAGATTAAGGGAGAGCAACGGGAAATCTTACATGGCAGTGGGCAAGAGACAGCATGTGCAGGGGGAACTCCGCTTTATACAACCATCAGATCTCATGAGACTTATTCACTACTACAAGAACAGTATGGGGGAAACAGCCCCCCATGATTCAATTATCTCCACCTGGCCCCGCCCTTGACGAGTGAAGACTATTACAATTCGAGGTGAGATTTGGGTGAGGACACAGTCAAATCGTATCAAGTAACTACCACTGGGACTTGGTAAGAGAAGTAATATGGATCATATCTTTGGTTTAAGTCGAAGACCTTGTTGGCATTTTTAAAGGATGGAGCATGGAGAGGAGAAATATATATAGAAGACAATCTCAGAGGTCCATAAAACGCTGTTTCAACACTTTAGGCAAAACAGGTGAGGGCCAACACTAGGGCATAGTTACAGTGAAAACAGAAAGGAAATAGTAAATATAAATTGTATTTTAGAGGCAGAATCAACAGGACGGCTCCTTGGATCAATGTTTCTCAAGGTGTAGATTAAAGGCTCAATCATCAGAATCACCTAGGATACTGGTTCAACTTGTGGATTCCTGGGTCACATTCCAGGCCTGATGAATCAATACATCTGGGTCCTGCATTATTCCCAAAACTCTCCAGGTGCTTACATACTAATTAAGAACCACTGGGTTAGCTGTACCGAAGATCAGTGGAAATTGGGATTTGATAATAAATCATGCTACCTTGAGTTATTAGAAATAAAATTGTGTTGCTAAATAAGCTAAAGAAAAGGAGAAGGTTTTGGGGAGAAATAACGTGCATTTGTGACATTTTGAGCTTAACGTCTTTGAGAGCTTTTTGGGGGGACAAGTCCAGGATACAGGAAGAATTGAGATCTAAACACAAGAAAAATTTCAGAGCTGTGAACTTGAAGTCTCCTGCAAAGGTATACTGTTGAAAATGTATAAGTGGGTGAGAATATCTAGGAAAGATTAGAGGAAAATATAAGAAAGAAGAATATTTTGTGAAGAATATTCTATGAAATTTGTCAGAGAGGCAGAAGGGAGATGGAAAGTTAAGGAAATTAGGTGAAGAAAGAAAACTTCATGAAAGGCAGAAGAGGCAGTGTCAAAGCTCGAACAGAATAAGGACTGCAAAGTGTCCTTTGGATTTAGCAAATAGGAATTCATAATAATTCAAAATTGCGTTGAATACAAGAGAATATGCAGAGAGAATGAGGTAGAGTAGAATCTGAAGATTCAAGAAAGGAGAAAATAAGTGATGTATTGAAGTTTCTAATTGAAACAAATGGAATGTGAACCAGAACAACTGGAGAATTTAGCTTGAGCAGGGGGAGAAATATTTTTGCTACTGAGACAAAAAGTCAGAAAATAAATAGAAGTGCTGAACTGCAAGTGTATTTCTGGGGAAGAGTAGAAAGAAAATCAAGAGAATTTTTACATGATGGCTTCTTTTCAGTCTATGAAGTAGGGGGTGAGATTATCTCTTAAAACTGAGAAAAGAAAAATGAGCCAGAAAGTCAACAATATTTTTTGAATACCAATTATGTGAGCGTTGTCTTGCAGAGAAAAATAAAAATGGAACCTCAATGGTATTATGGCATTTTTCCCATCATCACACTGTACTTAGGGGTAAAGGCAGGAACCAGACCTAAATCTGTTAATCTGAAGCTGGTATGCTCTCATGAGCTTGAATTTGCTGATATTAATGTAGCAGAAGGACTTGGATAGAAATAATGTAAAGTAAGCAAGTATACTGTGATTTGATTCTCTTAAGCAGCAGTGCATTTTAAAGGGGAAGTAGTTCAATTGGAGCTTAGGGAAAGGCCAATCAGATTGTCAGTGGTCATCTGCCGTGGTACTACCAGGGTAGCACCATACGCTGATTATGTAGATTACAAAAGACAATTTTTGTACTTATTTGTATCGTGTAAATAGTTTCTTAAAAATACCAAAATAATCAAAATGACTTAAAAAAAATTCTACAGTTACTATTGTTTGTTTTGATCTACAAATCATTTGATTTCTTCATGAGCTTACTAAGAAGTAGGAATGGCCGTGAAACAAAAAGTAGATGCCAGCGATTTCCACTGTAACCAATACACTAGAACTTGACTAAAGTATCAGTCCCCTGTGTATTTCCCGAGCTAGAGGCAACCCATCCGAACACAACCTTCTTACAGCAATTTTATTAACTGAATCTTCTCAACGCAAAAAGCTTAGGACCAAGCCTTTGGCCCCTTCAACATGCATCCCCTTCTATATTGTCCTTCCTGAAAAACCAGCTAGTCCTCACTGGGTATTTCTTTTCATTATGGTAAGTATACCATATGTAGACAACCTTGCGAAAACAGAGTGTAACAAATAAAATACTTACGTTCAGGTATTGGAATGAGTGGGATGAATTTGCTGAACACGCTCTTTGTAATAGAAGGACTGGAAACAAAGCAGGAATAATTGCCTTTGTCAGAAGCCTCAACATTTGCAATGTAGAGATTGCCATTTGTCTGAGACACAAATCGTCGTTTATCCATTGTGATAAATACAGGAAATTCATTTAGAAGCCAGCGGTAGCTAAGATCATCTAGAAGAAATTATTTTCTTCTAAATATGAAGTGCTTCTCCCAAAGCTGTTACATAATTTAATAGAGGCTAGTAACAAGCTATCACTTAATCTAACAGAGGCTATTGAAGAGCAAATGTTAGGAGAAAGCAAAGACAGTGCACACTTTAAAATATGTACCATATTTTACATGAATATAAGCATTACACTAAGCAATTACATCTATTTATCTATATTTCTATTATTTTATAAACTATTAACATTCTTGCTTTCATTGACGGGCTGAGTGAAACTCGAAGAGGTTACATAATTTGCTTAGAATTTCATGACTATTATGAAGAAATAGTATTTTGAATCCACGTCTAATAACTCCAAAGCCATAATTAATCTGCTGTACTGTATTTTATAAATAAAATTAAGATTACTTACCATATTATCACTTTATCTGTTTGTGTGTGTGTGTGTGGGCGCGTACACCTATTTTAAATTATAGAGTTAGAAATGAGCTTACGTAACCTATTGTGGTCACATTAAAAAGAGAAAACTACAGAAACACGGAAAAGTATGGTACTGGTTTAATTAAATATTAGGAGACATATCATATGGTAACTCTTACCCACATGAAATTCCTTTGGCTGAACACACTAACTAGTTAAATGGAAAACTGAATTTCCTCCTTAATTTGCTGAATTTCCTATAGTTTTCTATTCCTTCCTTCCTTCCTCTCTGTTTTGATGAATGACTCGCCAGGAGTCATTCCACAAATACACAAAAGGAGACAATGGGCAATGCACACCTTTAGGTCAAAAAATAATGATTCCCTTCAAAACATCTTGATCACATAAAGACAGTTTCTACTAAGAAGAATGTAAGTGGGAATCTCTCTAGGTCAGACTAAATAGGATTTTAGGTGTAAAATGGTGAAAAACCAAGAACTCACAGCACTCAGGCTTCTTTTAAAAATGAATAATCATGACAAACGGCTCTTTTGCATTGGGGAACTTAACGTGGCTAGCAAAGCTTTCAAAGAGAGTGTGAAAGCACAATGATTATGAAAAACTAAAAGAGATGCACATTATATAAGCTTCACATAATGGGAATAATAACCTTGGGATTATATTTAGCTTAACTATGTCATTTTCTCCAGCAAAATACAACATCAGGAAAGACAGTGAATATGATTATATTATTTTGGTTTTCAACATTGATTTTTTAAAATTATAGAAGCAGCAGCATATGTTTATTATTGAAGAAACAGAATACCGTTAAAAAGAGGCAGAAAATTAGACTACTATAATTAGCCTCTAACTCAGAATTATGGTTAACATATATTTCTAGGCACTTATATCTGTGAATCATTGAATTCTTTTAATTTTTTTCTTTTTGCTGATTTAGGGTCACCAGATAATTAGGATAGGAAAATATTTAGGGAGCTGCTTAAATGTCTTAAATGAGGGCTCCTGGGATAAGTAAAGAAGTATCACATTCAGAAAGGAGTATCAAGTAGTCTTTCATCCAAGCTGATATGTACAGTACATTTAAAAGAAGACTTTGATCTTTTCTGATTCTGAAATAATATTTCCTATTCTCAGTTGAAATGTAAGTCCAAATTTTGTAGGGATTTCTGTGAAAAATTAAATCCCCACTCCCCCTGCCCCACCACCAAAGCCAAAAATGTCAAGAAAGTATTTCCTTACAGAGAAAGGACTTTTGTAACTATAGGATGTATGAAAGATACTTCCCACAAAATGCATTTAGAGTAATCTGAATCCTCAGTGGTTATGTGAATACAGAGACCTGAATTTTAATTCTCAGTATGACTTTTATCAGTCACTCTATTACTTATTAGTCACTCTATTACTCAGTTTCTCTAAAATGTAAGACAGTTTCCTGCCCCCCACTCATCAAAGATGTGTGTAAAGAAGTGAAAGAAGTGATGGTATTTGATCCTTACAAGGGATAAATGCTAACTCAGAGAAGTTATTGTCGTGATGTTGTATGAACATAAGTCTTGGACTATAGAACAATTGGTCTGACTGACTGAATGTCCCATGTAGATTCTCTAATTTATTTATTTTGCAAAACCTGAGTACTTTCCAAGTGCTGCTAAACAAGATAGATGTGGCCTTTGCATTTGTGGGACTTGCAATGTAATTAATCTAAATTTATTTAACAAATCTTACTTATTTTTAAAGCCATTCACTTGGACAAAACAATAATTGCAATTTGTTAGAATCTGTCAGCACTCATTACAACAAAGGTAGGAAGGGCTCTTGCCATTTTTAAATGGGGGATCCAAGGCCTAATAGGGTGAAGTAACTTGCCAAAGGTCATACAGCAAAAGGGAGGCAGAACTGATGTTCTCACCTCCTTCCCCACCCACCATCACCAAAATTAGCTGTACCAAGACTGGAGCAATAGCCACCCTGACTCTCCGACTTATGGATGAGACATGATTTTGTCAATCAAGAGCTAAGCCCTGATCTAGGTTTTTCAAGGACTCAACAGACCATCTTCTTTGTGTCTTTCCTAGCCCCATGCAGATGATAAAATCAACCATCTTTGCAAAAGCCATCTGTTTTCCTCAGATTATAGACTGGATTACACAATAAATTACTATAAAATTATTTTTTCAGTAAGTGTCAGCATATGCTTAAGAAATGTTGCTTTTACTGGTAGATATATGAAACTTCTTGCTTTTACCCCAGAAATCTAGAGCACATATATTACAGGAGAAATTCATTTTGTCCAATTACAATGCATTTTGCTAATATCATTGTATTACTTTGAACTACACCACTTATGTAATCTTGCAAAATGCTATATGTATCTGCTTGAAATACACTTGAACTTCTTTAGTTCAAACCATGGAGAAATAACTTGAAAACTTTTTAGAAGATTTTCTTGCCTTTTAGAAAATTAGCTTGAACAGAATGGAATTCGCCTACACCAAAATCACTGTAGCTTCTGATCAGTACTTTAACACAGTAAACTATACATTAAACACGTTTGGAAAGAAAGTTTTGATGTGAGCTAATGTGTTCCTTACCCTGGTCTCTCATTCCTGTCTATTTTTGTAATGATCTATTTAGTCTATTAAGATTCTTTCAAGATTATATTCAATATTCCAGGAGTTGCTATTCTGAACAGTACTCTTATTTTCTTATCCATTTTAAATTTCATAATGTCTCTATTATGAGGTATCTCTTATTTTGTTAACAATACCTACCCTTAAAATGACAGACTTTTTTCCCTTTATTTCTCTCTTGCTATATACAAAGATATGATTTATATTTTGTGAAATTGAGTAAGTTGATTTTTGATCATGATATTGACAGAAAATTAGTTGGAAAGGAAGCATTATGTTTTCATTTTTGAGAGTCTGTGAGTTTAAAAAGTCTTGCACATTTATGAATTATTTATTGCAATATAATAAAATCAAACAAGTTTATGTTTTCAGGAAACTAAACCCCTACACTTAATTTAATGAACAAATCTATTTGCTCTTTCTTTCATTTTCTCACTCAGATATTATATTGAGCACTTACTCTGTGCCACATACGAGGAAATTAGCTGTATATCAAATGTTATAAAATTGAGTGAACATTTGTACTGAAATGCACATTTATGATCACTCTTGATAAATAAGTAAAGTGGTCCAAATGAGAGTTTCCCCCCTTGCAAGGAGCTGCAGACCATCCAAATACAGAGAAAAGTATATGGGATTGCAAAAGTTGAGATGTTTCCTTTTGGACTTTTTGCCTGCACATAAATGAGGAAGGTAACATCTCTATAATCCTGAACTAAAAATCTTTAGTGTAGTGAGATATACTAAATAATAACAGATACAAAACATCAACTGTACTAAAATATGTTTTATTTACTTTAATAATAATCTATTGAAATTACATATCTTTGGCAGGGCACGGTGGCTCATGCCTGTAGTCCCAGCACTTTTGGAGGCAGAAGCAGGCAGATTGTGAGGTCAGGAGTTCGAGACCAGCCTGACCAACATGGTGAAACCTCGTTTCTACTAAAACTACAAAAATTAGCTGGGTGTGGTGGTGTGCATCTGTAATCCCAGCTACTCGGGAGGCTGAGGCAGGAGTATCACTTGGACCCGGGAGGCGGAGTTTGCAGTGAGCCAAGATTGTGCCACTGCATTCCAGCCTGGGTGACAGAGTGAGACTCCGTCTCAAAAAACAACAACAACAAAAGAAACTACATATCCATTTTATCATTTTCATATACATTTTAAATGAGGAAATTAAGATGTAGACATGCCTAAGTTTACTTGACATAGTAAGGACTGAATCTCAGATCACCAGATAGAATCAATAGGGTTTGACAACTCTAAATAATTGTATATATAACATTCTTAGAGGTTCAGAACCCAAAGACAGATTCCTTTGTACCCTCAACCCAAGTTCTAAGTCACAAAACATAAAACCTTAATTTACTTTCTTTAAAAAGGAAGATTTCTAGCATAGAGATAGTAAAATAGTATACATACACATACACATACACGCATGGTTTTGAAGCAAATGTCTATTTTTATATTGGTTGAAGGTGGTATAACTGATGAACTATTCAGATTTATTCTGTGAATTATGTCTCTTGGACTCTTGAACCAACTTTATTTTTGTTTTTGTTTTTGTTTTCCACATAAACATATTCATCTTTATTGAGATAAGGAAGTAATGGACTCTTTTGGCTTAATGGTTTTAAGCTTCTGCCAACCTTGCTCTGGCCAATGAAATTCTACACTCAGCACCATGGCTAAGAGGCAGCAAAGACTGAAAGCAGGACTTACCTTAGAAAAATCTCAGAGCCTGTTCCTTGGACCCCTGCTTCTCGCTTTCTATCTATTCTAATTCCTTAGGTAATCACGCTGCAGTCCCATGGTTTTGAAAACAACTTATAGAATGATGAATCACAAATTTATATTCCAAGCTTAGACATCACCCCTGAAATCTACACACATATAGAACTGCCACCTTGATTTCCATTTGGAAGCTTAACAGACGCTTCACATTTAACATGTCCACACCTATTCCTTCAGCTGAAGTAATGGCAACTTCATTCTTTCAGGAGCTCTTGGCAAAAATTTTATGCCACCCTCAACTTTTATATTTATCTTATGTACCACATAAAATCCACAAGCAAGTCCTCTTGGCTTCTCCTTCAAAAGATATGTAGAATTTAACCAAAATATACCTATATTTCTATATAGAATTTAATATATTCTATTTATCTAGAATATGCCTGGATTTATCTTCCCACCTCCACTGCCACCATTCTGGCCCATGACATGCTACCTAAATTATTGCAATACCTCCAAACCGATCTCCTGTTTCCACCTTTTCCCTCCCTAGGTCCTTTCTTAAAACAGTAACCAGAGTCACCTTTCTATAACTTAAGTCATGTCATGTGTCTCCTCTGCTCAAAGCCCTGAAATGTAAATCGCATTCAAAGTAAAAGCCAAAGTTTTAATAATTGCTATGGATCATAAGGTCCTCCATAATGCAGCTCTTGTACCTCTTTTATTTCATTTATTACTACCCTCTGCTTTATTCACTCTATGACAGCCACCCTGCCTTCCTTGTTTTTCCATAGTCTGACCTCAGCATCTGCCTGGCATGCTCTTCTCTCAGATGCTCATATTGTTAGCTCCTTTACTTCCTTCAGGTGTTTATTCCAACTTTCCTTCTAGCGATGCTCCTCCTGAGTTCAGTCATCCCTCAATACTTACTCTCTCTACTTCCCTGCATTATACATACATACATATATATACACACACACACACACATATATATATATATATATCTCCTTATTTTCAATATCTAACATGCCATGTCTTTTAACCATTTATCTTATTAAGGTCTAACTCTCCCAGTGGAAGACCTCTGAAGGCTGGTAGCTTTTCCTGTTTTGCTCCACTAGGCATTTCTGTGGATTACATTGTGCCTGCTGTATAATAAGTACTCATAAGAGATTTTCTGAGTCCGTGAGTGATGGAGTGAAGTCCATCCAGTATTGAATATGGTCAAATGTAGTCACTGTATACTTTTGGCCATTACTTTGTGGGAAATGCTATGAAAATGGTAGGTTTTTAAATATATATTAAATATATATTTAAATATATAGTTTCTTAAGAAAAAGGCTTTCCTCATTGAAAGGATGTTACAAAATTTTGAATTTTATATGTCCCTCCATATTTATCAAGCAATCATCTTTCTCCTATTATGGAGGAAATCACCAATATTTGATATGTAAATAACCATAGCTATATATATATATATACACACATATATATAAAATATATAAACACACACACATACATACATACACACACATACACACACAATTTCACATGGAATACATAATGTATAATCTTGTGTGAAATATATGTGTGTGTATATGTACATACACACACATCAGATTGATGTATTCCACACAAAATCCTGCATGTATTCTAAAAGCCTGTTAGGTTTCAGTCTCCATGGAGATGTTTAAAGTCAAATTAATGGCATATTAGAACTATAAGAATAGAAACATGATTTTTAAATTGTGAAAAGAGGTATTTATGTATTGTTTCAAAGGGATATTTGATAAATAAATGAAAATTGGTGAAAGTATATGAAGAATTCATCTTTTAATTAGCACTTTGGTGAATTTTGTCTTGGCCATATAAAATTACAGAAAACATATATTCAAAGTTGAATTTCATAACAGATGACAATTAAGCCCCATTTATAAAGTAGATGATTATTCTTGCTGATTGGCATTTCTAAGGAGATTAATAATTTATTATGTCTTTATCCCTTTCTAGTGTTTAATTACATAGGGTTCACAGTATTTTATAGATACTAACTTATTAAGAAAATGATTGATCATACATTGTTTCTTGGTACTATTCTATTTCAGGAATATTTTCTAGAAAATCTAACAGAATTTCCCTGTGGAATAGGAACTTTAATGATGGCATAATACAACATATATAAGTTTATAAACTGAAATGATTAGAGATCCTTGGGACTAGAGCCAGGTGACTAATGAGGTGAGAAAGGAAGTGTCCATAACAATTAGTGACACATTACAAGGTATGTAAATATTCAGTCTAATATAATTAATAATGAGCCATGATTATCAATAATGTAGCATTATTATTAAGAATATGGAAACTTGTCCATTTTGTTTCATAGATGCTAAGAGAGAGGAATTAAGTTTACCTGGAAAATGGTACGGAGGGTCACAGAGAAGCACCATTCCTTTCCCTTCTTTTACTCTGACTTCAGGACGTTCCTCAGGTGGAAAAGGATCAAGATCTAATTACAAAAGAAAAAAAGGGAAATATTCACTCCCTCATCAATAGAAACAGAGACATTCATCAATTTTACCTTTCAGCGAATAACTCATTCTTGAGATACAGCACTTCTCAGTGGTTTGGCGAAGCCTAGTAAAGTCAGCTCCTCGTTCTTACATTGCTGAGATTTGTATACACTACTAAAAAGTTCTGTGATGAGCTCAAAGTCTACGGATATTGGGAGCAGCCTGCATAACAATTCTGATGACCCTGAAAATCACAAATATCCTAAAGACTTTTGTTTCAGACTTAGGGAGAATCTCAGTCAGAGTATCTGGAAATATAATGAAATCAGACAATACCAGGATCCACCAAAGAAAGTAAGAAAGAAAGAACAACTTAAGAGGAATGGACTCATTTGAAAGGTATTTCCCTTCCTGAGGGAGGGCTTGGATATTAGGAAGGAATAAGGGTGAAAGGCAGGACCCTGTTTAGGGAACGTGAAAGTGACCAATCTCTTGCTCCTTCTCAAATTCTGGGTTTGCTTCAGTTTTAATTTTCTTTACTCTTTTCTGTGTATTTGGAACTTACATTTCGCTTGATTCCTTGATATTCTTCTTCCAGTTCTTCATTTGTTTTACTGACACTCATTCTATTTTTTTTTCTGCCTCTCTTCCTGTTCCTTACCTGTGATCAGCACCCAAATCATAACATCGAATTGTTACTTTTCTCAGTATAAATTGTATACCTCTGAAGATCCATCTATTCCAACTGTTACTTTTTTGCAGAGGACTTTTCAAATCCACTTCTCCAGGCCTGGTGTCTTATTTGAATGCCATCCCTATCCTCAATAGCTTACTTGACATTTCCACTTGGATAATTCAATATCACGATAACCTCTGCATGTGAAACAACCATTTAAATGCTTCCTGCCATCCTTGAAATTGGTTTTTCTTGCTCCCATCCCATTATTAATGAGAATAGAATGTTTCTGCCCTTTGACTAGATATTCCTTGGGAAACAAAATTTACAGTCTTCTTTCCTTTTGTGCAACCTGTTAATTCCTTCCTTTATATCTATGTTATTTAAATTTTCACTCTCACCACACTAATTTAATCTTACTTCTCTTCCTGGACCTCTCTCATTCCCTCCTGATAAACCCTACCATGAAAGACTTCTTAAAACATTGTTTTCATCCTGTAATTCATTTTGCAAAAGATTTAAGTGCTGATTTAAATCATACTGGAGATCACCTGGTCCAACTCATCTCCCAATGTAAAACTTTCTTTCAAAACAACCTCTAATTTTTAGCTTAGCACAGTTTTTCATTATTAGTCCTAATTAAATGTTTCATGTAATTTAAATTTAATATAAATTAACTAAAATATAATTACATTTATTCCTACTATGAGAAATTAAATACTAGAGAATAAGATATTGTCATGTTGGGTTAATCTTTGAAGAGTTACAGCCATTATGTTGCAATATGTGACATTTTCTTCCCCCAAAAGCCCTTTTGATAATACAAGGCTTGGCGCTTCCATTGATGCATTTCTTTTCTTTTCTTTTCTTTTTTCTTTTTTTTTTTTTTTTTTTTGAGACAGATTCTTGCTCTGTCACCAGGCTGGAATGCAGTGTCACAATCTTGGCTCATTGCAACCTCCACCTCTCGGGTTCAAGCGATTCTCCTGCCTCAGATTTCCGAGTAGCTGGGATTACAGGCACGTGCCACAACGCCCAGCTAATTTTTGTATTTTAAGTAGGGACAGGGTTTCACCATGTTGGCCAGGATGGTCTCGATCTCCTGACCTCGTGATTCACCAGCCTTGGCCTCCCAAAGTGCTGGTATTACAGGCATGAGCCACCGCGCTCATCCTGATGCTAATTTTTAGAGAGTCAAGATCCTCAGACCCCAGCCTTCCTTTATTTGACAACATCATCTTTCATTGTTTTGAGTGCATTCATAGTATGCCTTGTGGTGCTTTGTTGTCTCCATCACACAATTATGGCCCACTCATCTTGTAAAATCTACCTCATCTATGATGCCTTCCTCTCACTATCCTTTCTTGATGGTTCTTCTTGCTGAACTCACCTAAACACGCTTGCCCTTTTTAAAAAGTTACAGTTTACTTACATCCAAAGCTCAGGGTTGCTTCAGTGCTTCTGACCATCCCGTAGCTATTGGATGCTAAACAGTAGTAGATTCCAGCATCTTTCTGTTTATCAGGGTTGTTGATAACAAGGTTTCCTCCTACCATACTGTATCGATCACTTGTGAGATCAACATCCCCATTATTCATTCTCCATCTATGAGAAAAAGACGCAAAGGTCATATCACAGGTCATGAGACCTAGAAACTCTATGGTGCTAACACAGTTCTAAAATAATTTGGGTACGGCTCCATGTGAAGTCAGACAATTAAGAATATGATTCAGGTGGTATTTCTTTGTATTCTATAATTCTGAGTCTCTAGGACCATAATTTGTAATTTAGCTCAGGTACAGACAGTTAAAACTCAAAGTACGTGACGTATTTTGTCTTTTTTTTTTGTGAGGTATCTCAAGTGACAAATATTTTGCTGAGTTTTTCTCCATAAATTGATTTCTTGGGATGTAATTGATAGCCATCTATGCACCAGTTAGATTCATACATATGCAGATATACTGTCTAAAATATTAAAAGCATTGTTCTACCAGAAATAAGTATAAAATATCAATATTTGACTCTAAATTTCAAAGTAATTTTTCAATAAAACATACTAATTGACATTGGGTTCTGCTCAATAAGTGACACATTCTGACCACTAGAGGTCAGTCACACAATTTGAAAATGATAAAAGTCAGTAGGGATTTTGAAAATTTATTCTGAGCCACAAATATACAAGTAAAACTGGATTTTCTCCAGCCTAGAGTTAGTGGTCACTTATGTCTTTTCTCATTACTCAAAGATTACTTTTAATAAAGTAAAAAAGGTGAACAATTCTTTTTCTCCCCAACCACATAATATCATAACAATGTAAGACACGCTGCAGATAATCAGAGCATTAACTGATAGGGATAGTATTATAAATAGACTGGAAACAGGGATCTAACTTTCTGATGTGATGATGAAAAGAATGCATGTAAAAAATAGTTCTCAACTGTATAATTTTATAATCATTCTTTATCAGGGTTTATCCTTTAAAGTTCCATGTCCTGAGGAAAGTCATAAGCCTAGAGCTGTAGTCAAATCGCTCAAGTAGTAGTGGCTTGTGGCCACATCACTCATTCCCTGGCCACTTCTAATTTGAGTAATAATCATGCCCAAAAGTCCTAATGACTTTAGAATATCTGTCGTCAAATCAAAATTACTGGAACATTATTAGTTACAATTTTTTTCATAATAGGAGATAATTTAAAAGCAAGTATAGAAAACTGTGATTTTGCATTTTTAAAACTTACTAAATTACAATCCAATGAATAAAGCCTTCCTCTTACCACAGGTGATGGCAATATTGTCCCTGCCTGAACCATCTAGTGTTAAGTTGCTTAGCTCTTGTCAGGACAGTGGGTTTCTTTGTTGGGCAGCTCCAATTTTTGTAATTTCTCCCTCATTATATTGGTTCCAACTTTTTGTTTATTATCTTAATTTCCTCCACATGGATCTGATTGTGCTTGTGACATCATATAAGAATTACCTTTTTCTGTGTTTGAAGAAGTTCACTGGTCTAGTTTCAGAAACATAGACTATTCTACAATCCTTTTTAATAGTTTTTTAATTGTAATGCTTGTTTCTTTGGGGATGGAGGAAAGATAATGAAAGCCTCAAGGCTTATCAGTCAGAAGTAAAGTCCCCCATTGTACCTCTCGGGATGTTGCTATGAATAGCATGTTGTCACAGAACATGCTACAAATATAAAACTATTACATGAATAAAAAATTGGATGAATACCAAGGTTAGTATAATTTGTCCTGAAATTAAGTACATTTTAAAAACTTTAAATGTTCTTTTCCATCTAACTACTTGCATCATGAGCTGATTTTTTTTTTCTGTTCTTTCCCCCTTTTTTTTCCCCCTGTCAAATGCAGACTGCCTTCATAACAAGATTAAACATCTATCTGTCTTCTCTAGTTCTGTCTATTAATGTATGGATAACCAGGCCAAACTTAAAGTGGGAATTTCAGTGCTGGGTTCAACCTGTGAGAGGCAGTTGGTGACTTACTGGCAAAGCAAAGCTTTGCTTTTTATTGTGCCAGTGTGGTGGGGGGATGGGGGCAGCAAGGAGAAGCATAGCCTTTTCCATGTTTCTTTTTTTTTTTTTATACAAACACATATTTTATTCAAATTACAGAGAACCAAATGCAAAGATATACAATTTGAAAGAAGAGAGAAAACAATGACCAAAAACTTACCATGTTTCTAGAACATTATCTGAGAGCAGCCCTTTCTTCTGGTTGCCTCTGTTCCAGCCTAGAGACTGATTTGCTAAGGTCCCTTGTGTGAATGTTAACAACAGAGTGTCACAGAATAAGTGTCGCTGAAAGAGCTTTTGGGATTCTATCAATCTATCCAGATAGATAAATAATGAAAAAATTGCATACCTCTTTGGAAGTCATAAAACCTGTGTTTCAGTCTTGGATCTGTGATTTACTAGTTCTTGAGCAAGCAAATTTACTTATTCAGGATTCAGCTTCCTCTCCTGTAAAATTTTCTCGGATTGGATCTCCTCTACACACCCTATTAGTTCTATTATTCCATGTCAGTGACAAATAGGCTCTCATTATATATGGCTTAAGGGTGCAAATAAGTCTAGCCCATCAGATATTTTCAGAACAAATGTGTTATTTATAATTTATAAAATACCTACTTATGTCTCATCTCCATTCATGAAATTGAAACAATAAAAATAATTTCAATGGGATGGTAATTTTGTATCTAAATTCACATTTTATCTTAAGAATAATTTTGTAATTATAGCCAAAGGCAGGAAAAACCTGAGTACCATTAGAATCAAATGGGTGGAAGGGGATATTCTCTTTTATAATAATTTTTTATAATAGAAAGTTACTTTTCTATCCAGGAAAAAATATTAAAATTTGTTGAGCGACAACCTTCAATCTAGTCAGGTGACATGAACACACTAGAGCCCCCAATTTCTCCATCAGTCACTTGTTTTGTCTTATGGAACCATTGCACAGGTGAAATTTAAACCCACTGGCTTTTGGTTGACTTTTGCATCTCATTCTTTGCATCAGATGAGAAACTGTTAGTATACTTTTCTGACACATCTGAAGCAGGAAAACTCATTGTTGCTTTTTATAAAGTTGTTTTTGACAGCATACGTATGTAACCCAGAAAAACAGTAAGAGGTATGTTTATATAGATTTTCCTATAGGTAGAGACATTTAAGAAATTTGCTGTGTTGGCTGGAATACAGATATGAGACTGTTGAAAAAGCTGATGCTTTCTACAGTTATTTGTGCAAGATCTTTAAATGTACTTAATATAAAAATGTATCTATTTCTGTAGGTATGAGTTATCCAGGCCAGTACATAACAAAAACATTTTATCCTCAAATCTGTATACTTAAATTATGTATAATTTTATATAACCATTCATAGGCTTAAAAACATGGTTTCCATTATACAAATTGTAAGTGGATGATGTCAAATGCCAGTAGCATTACCTCTGCAGAAATAGTGAGAATTATTTGCATATATTTAAGAGAATCTCCTATTTGAGCATTAGACAACTTTTTTAATAGCTTGTATGCCAATATTTTTGTTAATGTCCATAGAATTTGCAGGAAGCACTATATTATATCTGTACAAGTTCATAGCTGCTGATCTGTGATCATTACTCTGATACTCCATTCTGAAAAGAGAAGTGAGGTACATTACTTGTAAACCGGGAAAGGGCTGGCTCGTGCCCTACAGTTGAGTGAGACTTTTCCTTCCAGTGATTCCTCTGGATAAATGGTATTGATTGGCTGCTCTTCAAAAATTGGTCCAAATCCTTTGTCTTCCTCAGAAACTACAAGAAAAATTTTAAAAAATTGTTTTACATTGTACTGCTTTATAAGTCAAAGAAAATTTGGGAACACTGAAAAAAAATTGCTTGAAAAAATTCAGAAACAGAGTCTCCATTTTAATTCAAAACAAAGATATTTGCCTCCATAACACTGAGCCAAACATCAGGCTCTTCATTTAAAATTATTTTCTGTGAATCTCCTGACATTTCTCCAAATGTACCACGTGTTGCCCAACTTAACTACTTCCCAATTCCCCAAACAAGCTGTGCTTTCATGCCCCTGAGCCTCTGCATATGCTTTTGGTTTTCCTAGAATCATCATTCTACTTTTCTTGTCCTATCAAAATTTGCATGATACTTTGGTGACCTAGCCATAGTTAGTTCCATCAGGAAGCCAAAACCTCTCATCTCTCCTGGCTCCTATTGGTCCTCTTTTGAGTTCCTGTAGTTCCCCATATAGGTTATGGTACTTAATGCACTTGCTATGATTCTTGGTACAACTTTCTGTTCTGCTAGATTGCAAATGCTTGAGAACAGGTGGCTATGTCTTTCATCTGTGTACATCATTCTCCTGGGTAGCTGCCTGGTTGTCTGAAAAACAATAGGAGCCTAATGATTTTTGAACAAGAGTCTGAATGTGAAGGAGAGCTTCTTGATGTTGCAGAAATGAGTCTCTTTTCTGAGCCAGTTTTTGTTGATTTTTTTCTAAACATGTGACTAGCATTGGCACTCAGCACCATCTAGAACAATCAATCAATAAATTACATGGATATTGGATCTGAACAGCTGGTTTAAAATTGATCACAAACAGCTGTGTTGAGAAGCAGTTGTTTCTGGTCTATTCTCCCTGGAAGGGAAGAGTGACACCTCACAGCAGGATGAGGAGAAGAGAATCATTCACATGCCACCACTGCGGCAGCATTTACAGAGCACAGCACAAAGTCATATGCCTCAAATGAATTAATAATGATCTGTGTGGCTAGAAAGAACGAATATTCTTACAGGTCACTGGAATGTCTCTGCCCGATCTAAGCCATGATTCACTACTCCAGTTATTTTTTAAGAGAGAAGTAAAGGCAATGGCACACAGACATTTTATCTTCTCTAACACTAAACTTGAAGATGAGAGCTCTGTTCCAGCTTCCTTTTGAACAAATAGTTTCATTATGTCATTTAAATCTCGCCTCAGTACCATTATCAGTGTGCTTTTGGACAAATTATTGAATCTCTCCAAAGCTCAATATCACTCTTTATAAAATGGGGATAATAAAATCTACCTGATAAGGTTATTGTCAGAATTATTTTGAGACAATTCATGGAAGATGGCAGTGTACCTGGCTTATAATCAGCAATGAATAAATGCTAATTTTAAAACCATTCTCATGAATTTGCCAATCTCTTCAAAATTTAGTTTATGTTTCTTATGTATATAAAGTATTGACTAATCATGAAGCTTCTAAAAACCAGAAGCCAAGTTTTCACTCTTGTAGCTCTGGTCTTATTAGCACTGTGTTTGGGACACTGAGTACATTTTTTTTGTACATATAGATGGTTACTAAAATCCTCAAGTTAATTCCACTGCCCCTCCTCCCCCACCCCCCACCCCCCACCCCAGCCACTGGTATGAGGAATTAATTTCTCTAATTAATAAGTTAACCCAAAATGTTTCAAAGGGAGCTGCCTCATTTTTGGTTGAAATTTGCTGAAACTTTTATTCAATAGTTTATAGACCTCAGACACATTCCATAACCACCATCCTATTTCAGATAGGAAATAAATAGCTGGATCAGAATCAGAAGGATGAGAGGAACTGATACTTAGACTTAGCTCCTGCAATGACCTTTTCTAGTTATTGTCTTAGGCAAGCAATTTGTTTTACAGGGCTCGTACATTCCGAAAAGAAAGGAACATGAGCATATGTCCTAAGGACTCCATGTGCCTACCACAATTATTATTAAGATTATAAATATGAGTTATTCACAGAGATGCTCTCTGCCAATAATTTTGAAAGTTGTGTTCTAGGTTGTCTCTAGTTCCATATCCTTCTTGAGATTGTAAAAGCCATAAATGAATATAATGTTTTCTGCTTTACTTCTAATACTTTTACTGATGATGTCTAATATTTTCTGGCTATTCAGGCTGTAACAGCACAGCAGGGAAAAAATGAGAAATGAATCCTGAATCCCTGATTACTGAAGACTTTCATTTTTTCTGTAAGGTCTGGATTTTCTGATTTCTGAAAGAAATGGCCTTGTGCTTATCTGTGATAAAAATCATATGTTATTTTTCTTGTCAGTTTGACAATTTCATAAGCTCTTCCTTGAGTCTCTCCCAATTGCACAGGTCTTCTGACTGGAGCAATTTAGTAACACTTGCCAATTTGAAGATCTTGTTTCTTCTCAATGCATATAAAAATGCTTAAAAAGACAAGTAGATAAATCAATATATAGAGATTCTCTTCTTGAAGGTAATATAATTTCTATTCCCACCATAATCCTTGATAAATAATGACTTTAGTGTGAATTATTTTAAAACAATTTATTTTAAATCTAAGTTCATAAATATTTAGAAAACTAAAAATAAATATTGCTTAGGGGAGTGTAAAGTTCATAAAGATCTTCCAAGTACTTTGATACTTATGCGACAAGCCTGGGGATGATGTAAATGTTATTGTTACCAATGGAGAAGGCTATCCCTGTAAGAAGATTTAAGGAGAAATGAATGTATGTTGCAAGTATGCATATACTTTAAACATAAGGCCACTGATCTGCATTGGATTGGATCTTGAGTTTCCACTTCTTACAACAGTGGTAGCATAGAAATTTCAGATAGTCATGTTGGGAGCAACAATTTGATACACTATAGGTGTTAGTTATCCTTGATCTGACTTCGGGTACTTCAATAAGTTTTTAGACACAACATCAAAAGCATGATCTATCAAAGAAAAAAAAGGATTAAGTTGAATTTTCTTAAAATCAAAAGATCTGTTCAGTGAAAGACGTTGTTAAGAGAATCTCAGGTCTTCAGGGTTAAGAGTTTTCCTTTGAACCTTCTCCGACTTGCATTCTATACGCAGCACATTGGAAAGATATTTTAGATACTAAATATTAGTCTCATTTAATGGAATATAGTAGTGATTAAATATGACTTCCTAAAATATGAACTCATCTCAAGAGGTACAGGCTTACATTAATAAAGACCAGTTACACAATTGTATTTCCAATATAGAAATAGACAGCCCTGGTCTGTCCAGTGTCTGTTTCTAAAGTGACTTCTAGAAGTGCCATTATATGGAGGGTCATCATACAGAATTCTAAATTTAATTCATAATTTCATTTGCTTCCTTGAAAGAAGCTTTTTTATCTCTTTGAAGTAAGGTGAGTTACAGTCATTCAGAATTGCTTTGGTTATTGAAAGTACTGCTTGGAACTTTCAAATACAATAAAGACAGATTCATATAAACATATTTCTATGTAAAGATTAGTTAGTAGATTTTCATATTTTAATGAAATGAGTAGTCTTAAATATTTCTTTTGATAATGTATCCTTTCATTTAAGGTGTATGCTTTTGAGATAAAAGCTGGTCAGCTTTTAGAAAACTGAGAGTATGTTTTAAGTAGCTTTTTTATCTTAATAATATGTATTTTTTAAAAAAGAAAAGGTGCTAGCCAGGAAAATTTTCATGGAAAATTATAGAATGTCACATACTAATAATGATGAGGCTATGCCTATCAGGTTATACTGAGTGTGTATGTAGAGTTATTCCTATACATAAGGAATGAGCAAACCCTCCAAGGGGATATGCAAATATTTAACAATTTTGGAGTGAATTTTTATAAGCCAAACTGGATAATATTGGTGTCTTATGATACTTTTCCTTCTCAGTTATAATACCTTTCACAAATTATATGTATATATTTCTCAATACTCCCACTTATATTTGACCTTTATAGGAACGACAATGCAAGCTTTCAGGGATTAAAATAAGAAGCGAATCTCCAAGAAAATACTGAAATTATTTTTCACATTGAGAGAATATTGCAGTTAAGATATTTCCCTTTGCCCTTTCCAAGAACAAAAAGCAGAATAGGACACACTTCACATCACATTCATTTTTCGGTTAAGATTTTATTTCATAACTATATGCTTCCTGCTTTTCTAAACTTTTCAAGCCTGAATCACATAATGTATTCTGTTTGATGGTTTAGCAATGACTGTATATATTTTATTTTAGGAAGATATTTGGGCCCTTGAGAGAAAAACTACTCAAAACAAGCATCTGTATTGCATTGCCAGGTTCAGCATGAACCTCTTGAATATGATCCTCATGTCTCCCTTGTAGGCTGTACCTTAGTTTATGACCATGCTAGCTCACCTAGGGTGCTCAGATGCAGGGAAAAGAATTTTCAGGGATATTTCAATACAAGGCTCAGCAAAGGATCCAGTAATGTAAGCATTATGTTCTCAGCCTACAGAAAATACTGTCATCTATTGATTTTTTTCTACAGCCATGGAAACACTTAGATGACAAATTTTGATGCTTTGGAAGTATTATGGGGTTAAAAGGCATAAGAAACAAACCACAGATAGAGATTGTGTTTTTAAAAACTAAAATTATTTTTTAAATACATTCCTTTTTTTACTAGATAGATTCTTCTTAAAAGGAGAATAAAGTTATAGATGATCTCTCAAGCTAATTGAAGCTTTAACACTTCATATCACTATTTTGATCTGCTTTTAATGCAAATGCATTTATTTCCTACCAGATAATGTGATTATCATAAATCTATTACAGACATAAGTACATTTCTTAAATGTGATCAAAAAGATTAAGATAGAAATAATGTATGAATATTTGCAGTCATATTTACTAATGTAAATGAGAGGCAAAAGCTACTGTTGTTTCATTCTCATTTTCACCATTAATATAATTAGTCAATTATATAATCTCAAATGGGATTACTTCACCTATCACTATGTGGAGAGTGTCCACTATAATATTGCTATTCTATTTTATTTCTGGAAATTGAAAGTAAAATTATGATTTGTGCTTCAGAGATATTTTTATTCATTTTATATACTTTTTGAGACAAACTCCACTTCCCATTCTATTATATGTCACCTCAATCTGTTAGTTAGTAAGCACAATTTTACGCAGGCATGTTATAAGAAGAGTCCTAGGAAAAATCTATTGGAAAAAGGTGATGGCATCAAAATTTCAAGAGACTAAAATGGAAATTTTTACGACATTTACAGTATTATAGTGATTATTGGGTGGGGAGTGGTATAAGCTCCCTTGAAACTCTCTAAATGAGATAATATTTAAATTATCACAAAGCATCCTTCTTCTACACAGTACAGCTTCCTTTCTCCATTGCCAACCATTTCCTGCTGATAAGAGAAGATGGGCTTAGCCTTTAAATACTCTGGTGCCCCAATTTTTTAGGGTCATGGGTAATAGGTAACATTGCAGTACTTTTCCATAACTAAACATGCAAAGTAAGGATTTGGTCTCAAAAACTTATAGAAATACAGTTATTACAATAAAGAATATAGTCAGGTTAGCATGAAAGTTAAGTGAACTGAATTCTCCTTGTTTGGTTTTACCTGCCCAAAGGGAGCCTGTCACGTCTCTCTAGAGAATCTACTTCCTTGTCCTGTGACCCACCTCTGAAGCATGTAGACTCTGTTTTACATACCTGGCTGGGCATCTGCTGACACCTACCTCATATCTTAGTATATCCTAATATATAGCATGACTGGGCTCGTGGATCTACTTCCAAAACTCGGCCTGTTTCAGTCTAACTCTAGTCTATTTTGATTAATGGGGCTATTTAGGACCATAGATCAAAATAGTGACAGGTCACTGACTGCTATAAAATGTCAATCATATTTAGAGATAGAAATATGTACTGAAAATAATTCTTAGTGACTGATGTGAGTCTAGTTGAAAAAATATACAGGAAATCTTGGTGCAAGTACTATAAAGATATGTGAAATTTTCTACCTGCCCTCCCTACAGCCAAGCAATGAAGATAGTTTTTCTTAATGTTAGCTTTGGATATTATACAGTCATATCTTAACTCTACATGTGCAAAGTATAAATTATATATTATTTCATATCCCAATTTTTACAAAATATATATTATACTGCTATTTTATTTCTTTTTTTTTTTTTTTTTTTTTTGAGACGGAGTCTTGCTCTGTCGCCCAGGCTGGAGTGCAGTGGCGCGATCTCGGCTCACTGCAAGCTCCGCCTCCTGGGTTAGCCAGGATGGTCTCGATCTCCTGACCTTGTGATCCGCCCGCCTCGGCCTCCCAAAGTGCTGGGATTACAGGCTTGAGCCACCGCGCCCGGCCTATTTTATTTCTTTTTAAAAATACTTTTTCTCAATGAATTACAAAGGAATTAAAGATACTTATTTTCATTTTAGATTAGCCTGGGTATAAGTTGGTCCTACAATAGCTGCAGGTTTTTTTTTCTTTCTGAAAGTAAAGTAAATGCAGACCACAAGTGGAAAAAAGCATCTAACGTATTTGCTGTCAAATGATTTAGTTATTAATTAAATATCTAAACATTACAGATTGATTATGTGCAACTTATTCATGTTTGCTCTCTTATCTTAATAGAATATGATACTGCTTTCAAAAAATCTAAAAAAAATTAAGAAGAAAAATATTCTTAAAGACATGAAGAGTGAAGTTGGTTTTGATGATTTTGTTATAATCTTTAATGTACTTTGTTTTTCAAATTTAAAATGTTTTTGTTTTAATACATACATTTAAACACTAGCTACTAATGTTGCTGTAAAATAATCATTAAAAACTCTTAAATGTGCTGGATGACATATTGGATGGAACTTTTTCATTTGTGAGAAAAATCTCAATTTCAATTCACCTGAGTAATTCAGCAGACTTTGTTGGTTGACTAATCAGCTCCCCTTCTGCCCTTTACCTTCATGACAAAGCTCAGCCTAGATCAAGGATCAACCCATCCCTCACATGACTCAGAAGGAAAGGTTGACTGGCAGTGATGCCATTACTCTTGCTAATGATGGGTTTGGTGGTGAATGTGTGACCCAACTCTGGACATGTAGCGCAAGGTTTCTGGGAAAGGTCTCCTTGTTTTTAAAGATAGATAGATACAAGAAAAAATAAGCACACTCCCTTTGCCTATGAGACATTGTAATGTCTCTGTGTGATACCTGGAACTGCAGCACCGCTGCCAGCAGGTCAAGTAGGAAACCTGAGAGTTGACCATTGGACTTACAATGTGTGACATTAGTGACATGGATAAGGCAGTTTTGGTTGAGTGGTCATGGGAAACACTGATTGCAGCAGATTAAAAGGAGAATGTGGGTCAAGGAATTGGAAAAAGCAGCCATAGGCTATTTTTAAAAAATACTTAGTGAATAAGTCTCACGAGATCTGATGGGTTTATCAGGGGTTTCCGCTTTTGCTTCTTCCCCATTTTTCTCTTGCTGCTGCGATGTAAGAAGTGCCTTTCGCCTCCTGCCATAATTCTGAGGCCTCCCCAGGCATGGGGAACTGTATGCCCAATTAAACTTCTTTTTCTTCCCAGTCTCGGGTATGTCTTTATATCAGCAGGGTAAAAACAGACTAATACAATGGGTAACCTTGATTTGGCATGCAAGTTCTAGCACTGGTTGTTCAGTGATTCTTCAGGATTTTTCATTCTCCTACCATTATGCAGTGGCTTTTATAAGTTACTAGTGTTGCTACACTCATTAAGCACCTACTTGCCAGTCATTATGCTAGAAGTTATCATTGCAATTCATTTTTCAGTCCTCACAACAATTCTGTGATTTTTACATATTGGAGAGTTGGGACTCATAGAAGTTATATAATTTACACAAGAGAGTAAGATCATCTAGTGAGTACTGAGCTGAAAATGCAAATTCAGGCTGGTCTTACTCTGATTCTGTATTTTTTCCAGTATGCCATGCTGACTTTATTTCTGCAATATCTGTTTGGTAGTTGAAGTAGGATCTAAACTGCGAGGTTATTAAACAATAAATTTTGCAATATCTGTGAACTTTTAATTGAACTGAATCTTAAGATTCCAAGTTCACTAACTTTAGTTATCTCCCTTGCAACAAAGCAAAAGGTTTTCAAAAATAAGTTCAATGCTTACAAATTTTAAAATATTGCTTCCACATTTAGTGGTATAGCATTGTTACAAAGCATGCGGGAAAAAATAGCAGCCACAGTGAATATTTTCCGTTTGCTACAATCCTCTCATAGGATATTTGTTTATGATGTAGCCACTCATTCAACAGTTTGCTTACAATCTCAGAAAGATCACCTTACAAAATTTCATAGTGATGTAACATTAACCATTTGCCTTAAAGTTTAGAGAGTTAATAGCTTAGAACAAGGATAAAATATGATTCAATAGGGAAAAGGTATTTACAAAGTTTACTCTTTGGTTAACTTACCTCCATGACCATATCTTCTATACCATGTAAACTCTAAAAATGAAAGAAAAAACAAAATTTTGATCCTGAAGAAGTTATTTGAATTGTGGTTTCAAACATTACTTAAATAGTTGAGATGCTAGACAGTGGAATGAGAGTAGTGGCCCTTTGCTATAAAGGTTGAAGTATCTTCACATCTGTGCAGACATTTATTTCTTATCTTTACATTGATAGTTGCAGCATCAAAGTTTGCAGTCAATAGAATTTGTATGAATTTAAAGTACTAATAGGATAATTTTTGTTTTATTCACAGAAATAAGACTTCACAATGACTTTACCAAATTTTTTCTTTATTGTATTTACACTATATATGTAAATATATTATGCATGTAATTACATAAATGTATGTGAGTGAGTGTGCACAATTACCCTGGTTATAAAATATATATTTATCAACGTCATTAAAATCCTTGAGTACTAATGAAATGATCTTTTCTGAATTTTGGAGTGAGCATAATAAAAATTATTCCCCAAAATAATTTTTTTATGTTCTTAATAATGATGCCTTTCAGATTAATCATTAAAGTGATCGGTGGGGATTTATATACAAAAGGATGAGGACCATTTAAGTCTTGAACAAAACAGTCACTCAACAAGTATCTATTGAGTTAGGTCATTAACATGAGAGTATTAGAAAAATTGATTGTTAGAATTCAATTTTTCTAATACTTTCATAATGACCTAGCTCAATAAGTACTAGTTGGGTAAAATTATATCAGTTTTTCAGATAAAGATATGGTGTGCCTCTCATTGTAGGAAATAGGTCTGAATGCTTCACACTTGCCTTTGAAAGACAGAAATATGATATTTCTTTGTCCTAAAATGAATGCCACTCTCAAAATTGTTTTATTAGTCTTATGTCCCTACACACACTGTAGATTACTTTAATCATTTTTTAAATTATATTGATCAAATTGGTAAAAGAGTTGTAAGATTCAGTAGTGTGTTGCATCTACTTATAGCTCTTAAGAAGTGATTATTAATTTTCAGAAATTTTGTGAATCAGTTGTTAAACATGGCCAGTATTAAAAATTATATCAATTTACAAAGAAATAAATTATACTAAGAACAAAGGGAACAAATGCTTAAAACCCATTGCTTTCTCTCTTTTATTTGCTATATTTTATATTCTCTTTGCCATTGTGGTTACTTATATCTGAGTGGTGAAAATACTACAAACTAGTGAGCTGTTGCACATCTTTCCAGTTCCACATTAAATGGTGTCAAGTTGAAACTGGCCATGGTAGGAGAATTTACTCCCCAGTAATAGACAAATGCTGCACTCCAGGGATCTCCCCAGAGATCTAGATTTTAAACATTCACCAGCACACTATTACCCAAGATTGGCAATGTTTTGTGAAATCTTAATTGAAATTAAAAAGGAAATAGGGTCACCCTTAATACATATTTATCTACCTGTCTGACCCAGATGTCAAGAGCAAATAAGGATTTTTACTTCATTCAACACATTTAATAAACAAACACACATATCAATTATGTTGACATAATATATGTAGAATATACAAAGGATATTTCTTACCTGCTAGACATGTAGTAATAGATATTATCACAAGATGACTGACCAGCAACCACATTTTCATCTTGTATTCAGCAGAAGTTCGGTTCAATTTTCCAAAAAAGAATTTAGCTTTATGGCAATTGGATAATTTTAAACACCTGCATCAAGAAAGAAAACGAGAAGGAAAGAAATAGAGGGAAGGAGAGGGGAAGGAAGGGGAGAGGAGGAGAGCAGAGGAGAAGAAAGAAAGGGAAGGAAATGGAAAATGTTCATCATTTGAGGAAAACATTATTAACCTATTTGACTTTATGCTTTATGTTTGTAGAATAAGTTTTCATTTCTTTAAATATATTTGTAAACACCATGTAATGAAAGGAGTGGAGTCAGTATCAGAAGGCTTCAGCTGACATCCTAGTATTGACACAATGCAATCAGGAACGTCACTCAATCCTGTGTTTAGGTTTCTTTTCCTCTGTAACCATTGAGTATAATAATCCTTTTCTACAAATAGCACAGTTGTAAACATTTTGGTATCAGTCACTTTAATTGAAGGTTACATTTAATCGAAGCCCTGGTTGAAAGATTCAGTTGAAGTTACATCTGTGTAAGAGCTTGTAAACTCACAGACATTACACAGGGGTGATGACGTTAGCATTTTCTGTTGGTGGCTTAAAGAAAATTTTTGCCAGACATGCTAATTTTAAATGTTAAAATACATTAATTAACAAAATATTCATTCCTCCTCATCCCTTTTACTTCTTTCACTTATTAATTCAATGAAAAAGCAAGTAAGTGTTCCTTGCACGTCAACAGGTGACAATCAAGGTTTTGTGGGGTCAAAATTGTCCATTCGGAGAGCTTTCTTTCAGGACAAGAAGAAAATAAAATTACTAATGTAAACGAAACCACAAAACCATGTAGCAGCCTAATTAAAATATCTTGCTTTTAAAAATTTTGCAGTAATGTACGACCATGTGATTACACTGCCAAGGTTTCACCCAGGATCCCAGAATAGCCCCATGCAGGTGAAGGGCGCTGTAACTTAAGTTTCATCATCTCCATGGTAAAATTCACCACTGTGACAAAGCAGGTAGCTATGAAGACTCAAAAAAGAAAGACATAGTTTGCTTGCTCTTAAGAAGTTCATAGAAAAAGAGTACACAGATATGTGAACAAGCCAGTGCAATGACATAGTTGTGTGGACCTGTATGCTATTAAATGTGAAAAAGTGTTAATCATTTTCACTGAAAGCATGGTAAACACAGCATGGTGGGAATGGGCCTTCCTGCGGTAGGCAGGGCATTACACAGGAGTGTTGCATTCTTAGATTTGAGTCATTTGGTGACTTCCTGCCTCAACCACCACTTACTGGATCACCTTAAGAATGATATGGCCCAGGGCATTAGAAAGAGCACTCATCAGTAATGACACAATAGGAGTTTCATCTTGAAAAGACATTAAATCATTGTTTTAAAAGAATATATAATAGCATAACTGAAATCTCATGACATAGAGTTGAGTGAAAATATAAATTAAGATAGAACATGGGCCAGGCATGGTGGCTCACACCTGTAATCTCAGCCCTTTGGGAGGCCGAAGCGGGCAGATCACCTGAGGTCAGGAGTTCGAGACCAGCCTGACCAACATGGTGAAACCCCCATCTCTACTAAAAATACAAAATTAGCCTGGTGTGGTGGCACATGCCTGTATCCCAGCTACTCGGGGGGCTGAGGCAGGAGAATCACTTGAACCCGGGAGGCGGAGGTTACAGTGAGTCGAGACCTTCATGCCACTGCACTCCAGCCTGGGCAACAAAAGCAACTGTCTCAAAGAAAAAAAAAAAAAGCATGAAAACAATTCTAAAAGGAAAACACCTAATGCTCTAGTGTTCAACGTATAAATATAGTCAAACATATTTAAAACAGCAATGTTAAAATCCTACTGATTGCTTGCGTCACACTGTTACGTCAAAGAAAAATATAGGAGTCTATTTTTTAATGGATTTTGAGAACACACATACTCCCTGATTTGCAAGAATCCTAGCATTTGGCAGAGGCTGGACAAAATTTTTACCTCGCCCATGGTAACATATGGGCCAGGATAAACATATTTTTCCTTTTTAATATATATGTCTGAAATTTAAAATTTTTATTAATTTATTTTCCTAGGCAGAATTGGGCGGAGAGGAAACTAAATAGTTTAACACTGGTGAAGAATGTAAAACAATTCTTTCAGAGGACAGGAAAATCAATTACGTGATCTGTGGAAAGATTTTTAGCTTCTTATTTTGATTGTGCATCACGTCGTTATCCACATATAGACCTAAGTGAAAATTTTTGAAATGTGTATACACTGGTTATGCCTATCTAGACTTTGTCACAAAAATGTGGATTTGATCTTTTTTTTGGCCTGATAGTTTCTAATTTTTCTCATTGAGTTACGCATACAAAATAAGACAAGTTCTTTTAATGAAGAGAAAGTTAGAAAAAGCAAACACATAAAGATGCCAAAACTTTAATGCCAATCAAACAATTGACTTTGTAAAAATTAACTTAGAAAACATATTATTATTTTTAATTTTAATTTTATTATTATTACACAAATCATAATCTGTGGAATCCTAACTGTACTCCAGCCTGGGCGACAGGGTGAAATCCTAATTTGTGTAATAATAAACTGTTTTAATTTGAGAATTCTAAATGTTTCCCACAGATATTCACATTTAAGAGCAAGAGATGCTACTGCAGTGTTGGTATTGAGGGGCAAGAAAGCAGCATTGACCAGAGAGAAAAAGAAACAGATAAATAAAGTTGAAGAATTAAGAGCAACGTCTGTGAAAGTTTGCTTCTGATTTTTCATTTTGATAGAGTACATCAGTGATATTTTGGTCTATTTACCCATGAACTTTATAGATAATCTGGAAAAGAAGTGGGATAGGCCTAAAAAAACATTAGTTGTGTCCACCTACAGCAAGAGATCTCAGTAAATTGAAAATAAAATACAGAAAACTTTTCTAGGGCTAGAATGTAATTTAGCAGTTCCTTCTCAATAATGACCACAGTATACGAGAACATGTGCCAAAATGCACAAATGTGTACAGGGGAAATTAGCCGGATCTTGCCTGAATTTTGCCTCAACCATTCTTTAGCTTGCAACTTTGGGCAAGTTACTCAATCTCTGAACCTAATTGTCCTCACCTTTTAATATGGAAAGAACATCTATTTCATAGCACTATTGCAAGGTTTGCATAAAGTTGTGCATGCAAAATGTTGACTGTGAAAGTATTCAGTAACCATTTATTATTCCATTAGGCCATAAGCCAACCAGGGCAGGGGATACCTATCTTGTTCATTGTTGTGGAGCTAATGCCTGGCACACAGAAGTCACTCGATATGGAGTTACTGAATAAATGATGAAATGAATGGACCATGTGCATAACTATAATTCAATTCAAAATGAACTTTAATTTCCTAAAATAAGAATAGGGGCTGGGTCCAGTGGCTCATGCCTGTAATCCCAGCAATTTGGGAGGCTGAGGTGGGTGGATCACCAGAGGTCAGGAGTTCGAGACCAGCCTGGTCAACATGATGAAACCCCATCTCTAGTAAAAATACAAAAAAATTAGCTGAGTGTAGTGGCATGCACTTGTAATCCCAGCTAATTGGGAGCCCGAGGCAGGAGAATTGCTTGAACCTGGGAGCCGGAGGTTGCAGTGAGTGGAGAGTGTGCCACTGTACTCCAGCCTGGGTGACAGAGTGAAACTCTGAGAAAGAGAGAAAGAGAAGGAAGGAAGGAAGGAAGGAAAAAGAAACGAGGAGGAGAAGAAGAGGGCTGGGCACAGTGGTTCACGCTTGTAATTCCAGCACTTTGGGAGGCCAAGGCAGGCGGATCACGAGGTTAGGAGATTGAGACCATCCTGGCTAACACGCTGAAATCCGGTCTCTACTAAAAATACAAAAAATTAGCCGGGCGTGGTGGCTGGTGGGTGCCGGTAGTCCCAGCTACTCAGGAGGCTGAGGCAGGAGGATGGTGTGAACTCGGGAGGCAGAGCTTCCAGTGAGCTGAGATGATGCCACTGCACTCCAGCCTGGGTGACAGAGTGAGACTCCATCTCAAAAAAAAAAAAAGAGAAAGAAGGAAGGAAAATGTCTCTTACTGGGGCTTTGATCCTTGTTACGGATTCCATACTCCAGAAAAGGATATTTTAAGTATCAATATTTAAAAGCAATTTGAAATATGTGGTTTATTGGGCATTACTGAAAGTCTCTGTTTTCCAGTTCTGAATATGTACACTCTAATCAGAATGAAGAGTTCATTACTTTGAGCCTCTCTGTGTTATTCCATGCTATCTTTTCCTTCACTTCAAAATGTTTTGTCTTTCAGTAGGACAGTGAGACATCCCCAGCAGCATGTAATTTATTTTATGAAATGGATTTCTTGCCATTTGGGTATAAAAGTATCTTTCATATGTTGTTCACACATTTGTTTTTCTGCTGGTGATCTGTTCTATTGTGTCACCAGTTATCCCATCACTTGTGCCTCCCTGATCACATCCTTCAGCAGCACAGTAGAGAAGACAGCAAGCTGAGTGCATTCCTGCTAATGTGGAAGAAACTGTCCTTATTACTTCTCTCTCGAGGCCATACCACTTATTAATTCACAGCTATCCCCCTGACCTCCATGGACCTGAAAGTGCTGCAAAAAATGAAGTGGCAGAGGCAAAAAACAAGCAACTCTGACAAACATGTGCCAGTCACAGGAGCAGACTTGTTTCTTCTCAAAAACTGAAAGAAGGCCCAGAAGCAGGAACTGGGGGTGCATTCCTGTTTCTGAGGCCATGCTGTGCTGGCCAGTTCCCTGAACGTGTCAGCCTTTAGAGTCCTGCGACCTCTTGTACACCCAGCCAGGACTTATGCCAGGTACTGCTGCTGCTGTTGCATCTCACAATCTCACACAACTCTGTGGGTCTCCATGACTGATGGATCCCTGACATGGACTGGCACTCTGTTAATTTCCAGAATTCACCTTCTGTTCTCCGGCATCCTTTACTAAATCTCTTACACATATTTCAAAACAACAACACTTCTTAATACAGTAAGGCAAAACAGTATGACACATCTTTGTCTTTTTTTTCTCCTCTCTTCCTCTACTTGTCATT